GTACAGGGGACATCTTGAGCTTGTTTTGAAGCTTGGTGTGTTGTGTTCGCATCAAGCTGCATCGGTTAGACCAGCTATGAGTGCTGTTATGAGGATATTGGATGGTGTTTCGGAGCTTCCGGATAATCTTCTTGATGTGGTGAGGGATGAGAAGTTGAGAGGATGGCCTGAGAAACCAATGGAACTGCTTTTTGATGTGAGCTCATCGGGTACATCAACGTATACAGATTCTTTAGTCTCACATGGACGTTGAAAATTGAAATTTGCCAAATGGTAGTTGATTCTTTGGTTAGAGCTCATTCTCCTTTCTTTTTGTCAGGATACAAGTAGAATACACAATACTCTTCTATATTATCTGGTCTCATTTGTAAATAAACAATTTAATATTTGATTAATTACTTGATCAGATCAAGAGATTTTATTGTGGTCGATAGCTCCTTCTATATAAAATTTCACAAGGAATCTTTGAACGTCAGATCTTCCAATAAGGATATTTGATGAACGAGTTGCATAAACAATTTTTGTTATTTGTTTGTTTAAATATAAATTTGGTGAAACTTTTTCTCTATTTTACAAAATTTCAACGTCTGATCTATAGGCAGGTGTTATTTGTCCCAGGTTTCATTGCAAGGAAATTTCAAATGAAGTTTGGCAAATTCGATTGAATATTTATACAGTTTCTTCGAACCATTGTCAGTTTTCCATAAATAAAGCGCAATATTATAACACGGTTACAAGTAATCCTATCAGTACATAGGACGGATTAAAAAAAAAGACAAATGAATTGGATCATATTTAAAACAAAAAAAAAAACAGCAGATCTTTGAAAAAGATGTAGCGACTTGTTCGAGGCCACGATCAGTATAAACAACCTGATAGGCACGGAGAATCGCTTATTGCTATTGCCAACCTTCAAGGCAACTCACGCCATTTTTATTTTGACGTCATTGCTCTGCAAATTGGCTTTTTTATTTAAAAAAAAATGAACTTTCAAATCATATAAAAACACCAAAAAAATCTTTAAAACCAAATACGAAAACCTTAATAACCTAGACGACGGTGAAGAAACAAACTAGAAACATAAAAATGGAACTTGAAGACGCAGATGATGATTGATGAATCTGAAAGATAAAGGTTGTACTGATTTATATAGAAGCGGCTGAGAAGAATGCAAAACCCTAATGTCTTACAAAAAATGGTCCATTAATGGACCAAATGGCCTAAAATTTATTACAAATGGGCCTAGGCCTCGAGGTAGATGCTCTATAATTACTCACTAGGATAAGATCCGCGCCTTGCGCGGAATGAAGCTATTATTTTTATTATGTTTTGAAAAATGAAATAATAGTTCGGTTTCATTCGGATTAGAGGTGTTCAATCCGGATATCGGGTTTCGGTTCGGCTCGATTTTTTGGTATTTCGATTATTAAAATATAACTACTATTCTAAATCTATATGTACTTCAGTTTGATTTGGTTTATATACCATCAGTTTTCAGTTTATTCAATTTTATACCAGAAAACATAATTATTTAGTTTGAGATCATATTATATATTATACAAATATATAATATGATCATATTTAGAGTCATATTGTCACATAGTCATTTATTAAAAAAATATTATATAATAAAATTAAAGAATAAAAAACAAAAAATGCTTCTATCATCTAATAAAATGATCAAATCTAGAATTAATATCAAAACACTAAGTTTTGAAAATAAAAATAAAAAACAAAACAGAAGCATGAAAGAATTTTTTTTATATTCTTCCATATTTAGTGTTCATCAAACCAATATGTCTTCGATTGAACACAACTCTGTTTGTTTAAAGATATAAAAAAGTTGTAAATAATTTCAACTAATTGTTGTCCATCAAATTTATAATCTTTACTTCAGTTTAGTTACTTTTAAAAAACAAAAGATCAAAATAAGAAGTCTCAGTTGTAATAAATTGTTAGCTATTTACAAATTATAATTATAGTTCAACTCATGTAACAAATAGATATTCATGCTCCGTTATAAATATATACATATTTACATGTTTCAGTTTAATCGATTATAAATCAAACCATATCCAAATCAGTTTTTATAAAATCACATCCATTCGGTTTGGATGGTATATACCAAAAATATATAACCATATTATCGATTGTTAATATCTTTTAAAAATATAAAATTAAAAAAGAACTAAGATATTTAAATCATTGATAACAAAAAAATTCAATGTGAAAAATTTAATAAGTTTATAATTTATAAATGTTATTGAAAATTTTGAAATTAAAATATTTATGTAATATTATATGGTATATAGTTTAATCTGTATATATATTTGTTTTATAATTGAATGATACTTTGTACTTATATGGTTTTAAAATCATGTATATCTTTTTATAATAAAATGTTAAACTATTGATCATTAATTTTTAACATAATAATTTTAATAGTTTATTTATTTATTCTAGTTTTTCAAAATTCAAAATATAACATATACGAAAAAATCTAAAGTTTAATTTTATAGCTAATTTGATTATTTAATTTATTTTAATAATATAAAATTATAGAAAAATGATGGAGGATATATAAACTATTATCAAATATTTATTATTAGAATCATTAAGTGTCTCATATATATATAATAGTCATTTATGGTAATTTCATAGGTTTTATTTATGGAAAGAAAATAAAATAGTAATTATATCTAGGGGAACAATCATAAATGCTTCTATCATAAATATCATATCATATCATCATATCATATAATTTGACCAACGAATGTATCTAGCGACATATGAAAATCGAATGTGGACCTACTTATTTTCAATTGAATGTAATTGACTACCTAATTGAGTGACACCTAAGCATTGAGTCTTTTTTAATTATTACAAAATTGAGGTTACAATTTTTTAAATGTTTCTCCTTTAATATATAAGGGATATTCTGATTTCCGATCAGTTCTTCATCAACGCATATGGACATAATATTTGCAATATTTACGTCCTTGATTTGAAGCAATCTAAATGTTGAATTATATTTATGCTATAATATCGGCTTGATTAATACAAATTAACTTATTTACTTGCATGAATAAAATCAGTGAGTTTGCTCATCAAGGGATGTCATTGTGAGGAGCATTCGTTTCTTTTAGANAAGCAATCTAAATGTTGAATTATATTTATGCTATAATATCGGCTTGATTAATACAAATTAACTTATTTACTTGCATGAATAAAATCAGTGAGTTTGCTCATCAAGGGATGTCATTGTGAGGAGCATTCGTTTCTTTTAGATTTGGGAATATTTCAAAATTTCCTAAATTTAATTTCTTGATTGAAGATGCCTTTTGTAATTAACATCCCTTTAATACGTGTATAAACTATAAAGTAAAAATTCAATTGATACACAAAGGAAAGGGAGTACATAGTATGAACACTATAACTTTTTTTTTCTTTTTTCAAAGAAAAAACACTAAAACTTTTTTTTTCTATAATTTTTGTAATATCTTTGGAGTTTTTAAGTTTTTTTATAGTAATATATAGATCACTCACTATTAGTTTTGACTTCTGAAAGACTGAGTGACTAAGAATGTGATTTAACAAAAACTGAACACTTATATTGATCATATTTGAAATACTATTGTAAGTTTTACATCGTATATGATTGACAAATAGAGAATTGGCATTGTGGATACATTTTGCGGACTGTAAATTTGAGATTATAAAATATAAATAGTAAGTTTTGAAAAATGTCATGAACAAAATATTAGTCTAATAGAGAACAATCTTAGTTATAATAAATTCATTTGTTTGACATTTGTTCGTGACAATAAGTTTTGAATACATCATAAACCACCGTTAGATTTAATAGAGATATAGTTACTTGAGTTTAGACGGTAAAATTAGTGAAAACATGCTTGGAAATAGAATAAGTACTGTTTTTGGTACATGTAGAAAACATTAGTTTATCTTGATATAATGGCAGACTTATCGTGAACAGAATGAACACACTTATTTACTATAAAATGTCATTGTGCTTGACTTTTCTTCATGGAAATACGTTTTAGAACAAAAAGAACTCTTTAGCAGATCATGTAAGGCATAAAATTAGTCGTAGCAACCAGGTTGATTCTCAATTTTTGGTATCATTAACCAGTGTAAATGAGTGTATGAGTAAATGACGTATTGTTTATTTTGTAGACGAAGATGAAGAAGTCACGGTTTTAGAAAAGCCTAGGATTTAAATAGTAAATCATCTCGAACAGACTTATTCTATACATAGTTTTGATTGAGAAAACCAGTTTAAAAAATTATTGTCCTATGAACCTGGTAAAATCGTATGAGTGGTAGCAATTATTATCAATTATATGCTATAAAAATGTGTAATAAGTACCAATGGCAATAGCTGTAAATATTCTAGTAATTAAAGGTTTATTATTTTAGTTAGCTTAGGAGAATTGTGAGCTTGCCACATAAGCTATAATGGCAAAATTGTTATTAATCTACCAAATAAAGGTTTATTATTCAAAATGCTTCTTGATTAATAAGTAAAGGATTATGCAATAGTATCGTTTACTATATAGTATGACAAAAAATTTCGAAATGAATTATTCTCCTAGTATAATTTCATATATTACATAACAAAGTGTATATACCCTTTTCCAGGTTTCAGTGTCCAAGGAGGTGAATGAATGTGTAACAAAGCACACCTTTAGTTATTGGCAAGGTGAGACTATATGTTTCTGTACATCCTACCTTTTAGTTTAGCAATCATGATTCCGTTCCAACTTTTCTTTGCTATATGATGAAAGTTTAATTTTTCACTGGCCTTTGTTGCCAAAAGCTATTTTCTTAATTTAGCAAACGTCTTTGCCATTGCTTACTTTGAAAAGGCACCCGACTTCTGAAGGTGTGGAGTTGTAGGTAGATGAAGACAATAAATAACAGAAAAAAAATGATGTTCACAAGGCCTTTTGCAATCTCTTTTTTGGTTGTTCTTCTTTTCCTGATGGAATGATTCTGATGTTAATCACATAAGAGCATCTCCAACCCCACTCCAAAACCCACTCCAAACTCCATTTTGCAGTAAAATCATCTCCAATCCTACTTCAAAACTCACTCCAAAATGGAGTAACAAACATGATTACTCCAAATATGGAGTAAACCAACCCATTACTCCAAAATGGAGTTGAACTTTTTTATTTATCAAATAGTCCTCCACATTTATATATGTTTCATTTTTAATAAAATATTATTATAAATAAGTGCTATATATATTATAAAATTTACTGTTATATTTCTTAATTATATAAATAGCCTAATTTTTAATAAAATATTATTATAGATAAGTATATTAATATTATTTTACTATATATTAGAAAATTTACTGTTAATATTTCTTAATTATATAAATAGTCTCGTCTTTAATAAAAATATTATTATAAATAAGTATATTAATATTATTTTACTATATATATTATAAAATTTACTGTTAATATTTTTTAATTATATAAATAACCNATAAATAAGTATATTAATATTATTTTACTATATATATTATAAAATTTACTGTTAATATTTTTTAATTATATAAATAACCATCTGATGAACTCTTTTATACAACATAATATATATAATATAAAACATAAAAGATCATACATATAGAAAATGAAAGATAAGCACCATACAAAAGAAATAACATAAAATAAAACTTACAACAGATATAATTGCTTAATAATCCGATAAATCATTTTCGGATCCATTAAAATTATTAAAATAATCCGATAAAATATTATTAAATTCTTACATAACATGATAATAGAAGATGATTGTGATCTCGAGGTGCCAATTGAAGTTGAAAGAGAAGTCATGTCAAGGAAAATTGAAATTGAAGAAATAATAATGTGAGGTTCCAAAAGTTTCTTTCCTATTTCAGAGAAATCAAAGATAAAGAAGCTCATTTTTTACTTCGAAATGCATTAGTTGATCATTTGTGAGAAAATTATTATAATTCTCATGAATAATTTAGAATTGATGTATTATTGTGTTTAAGCTATATAATGTAATTTTTAATGTATTAAATGTATTCTTTTAAAACCTTGTTGAGTATTTTTATTTATATAATAAAAATTTAATTGTGGTTAATATTGTATTTAATAGAAATGCTATAAATTTAAAATGGACTGTTTTGCAAATAGTATAAATGAAAGGTGATATTCCTAATTTTGAAATAAATATGATATTAAAAATATTCTTTTGGAGTAGAAAATGGAGTAATACATTGGAGTAAAACTCAACTGCATTTTGGAGTTACTCCATTTTAGAGTAGAAAATGGAGTAATACATTGGAGATGCTCTAAGAGTTAAGTAAGGATGCTAAACTGTAGGAGGGTTGAGATAGTGGGAACGAACGTCCTCGTATTATTCAAATGCCCTAACTACAGAGTGAACATAAAGTTTCAAGGTATGTAGTTTCTGACATGTTTCAAATTCAAAAACAGAGTTTAATAGACAATACTTTTTGACCATACAATATACTTAGTACTAATAAACGTAGAGATGTTTTACGTGATTTAATGTAGATTCCGATAGTCATGAATATTATCATCATTATTTTATATAATCGTAGATATTACACACCAACGGCTACAATTTATTGGTAACAAAAAGATACTGTATAGTGGGATAATTCATATTGTTTAACTGTATCTAACTAATTACCCATCAGGGGGTTTTCCAGTAGAAATGTTGAACAATACAAGTTGCACTATTTGGCTTATTGATAAGCAAGAATGGCTTAGCACTCAAGATGCAAACTTAACAGTAGAAGAAAGAGATTTTGCTTTTGTTCATAACTCAGGCTGCATTTTCTCAACCTCTTCTCGGATAGACTGGAACAGAGGGGTCGATAGATATCGCTCTCCAAAGCTCGGGAAAACAACCTGTAAAACCCGAATACATATATAGATTCATTCACAGGTCAATCTCCTAAGTGACTTCATAGATGATCTTTTTAACACACGTGATGAAGAAAGCTAGCTAGCTAAGTGGCTTTACTGTTTGGTTCTTTGTGTTTAGTACTGAATAATACACTCTAGAAACTTTTTTACAATCCTAATATCCATGTTATGATGTTTTTTTTTTTTCTAAAGCAATCCAGGGGTTTCGATGCACAAAGACTCATGTGTCACCATTCTGTGTTTCCCAACACATAACAAATATGAGAAACAAGAAGGAACTTACAGCAATGAGTTTCCCTGCATTCTCAGGTCTCTTTGCAACCCTGATTGCAGCAGCGGCAGCAGCTCCAGATGATATTCCAACCTTACAAAAGGATTCCCTTCACATGTTAAAATCTTGAACTGAAACATTCGCACTAAGAATTGAAAAAGAATATAAAAGACTAACCATCAAGCCTTCCCGTAGAGCTAGTTGCTTTGCGGTTTCTATAGCTTCCTCACTTGAAATCTGTTAAGGAGCAACAAGAAGATAACAATTCAGATATTTGGAACACTTAAGCAATACAGGATCCAAGAAAACAGATCATACCGCTATGACTTCATCCATAATTGCCTGATCCAAATTCTTAGGTATAAATCCAGCTCCAATTCCTTGAATCTTGTGAGGTCCTGTACTCATATACAAATATAATAAATAAATAATAAACCATAGTTCAATCAAAACCAAGAAAACTACATTACTGATTGTCAGTCTCCAAGTCGTACCCGGTTTGCCACCAGAAAGTATGTCGCTTTCGGTAGGTTCGACACCAATAACCTGGTTCATGCAACCACCACATAAGTAAAACAAGAACACATTCTGTCTAAGTAGCATCTGCAGATACATTAAGGCTAAAATGGAACCTTTTATTTTTACCTGCACTTTGGGGTTTTTCTCTTTAATGAATCGACCAACACCAGTAATAGTCCCACCAGTTCCAATTCCCGCAACAAATATATCCACCTTTCCCTTTGTATCTTCCCATATCTCAGGACCAGTAGTCTCATAATGGATCTGCATATTGTGCATCTTTTGATCAGAACATAAAATTGCAGTTTACAAAACTAACACAAGGAAGGTTGAACCTATCTGACTAGCACCTCTTTGCTTGTACACTATAAGTGAGAAACTGTGGTAAGGCAAAAGAACGCCACAAACCTTTGGGTTGGCAGGGTTATCAAACTGTTGGAGCATGTAAGCATCAGGAGTTGATTTCAAGATTTCTTCAGCCTTCTGAACTGCACCAGTCATGCCTTTTGCAGGATCAGTTAACACAAGCTCAGCTCCAAACGCCTTTAAAAGAACCCTTCTTTCCATACTCATGGATGAAGGCATTGTCAAGATAAGTCTGTAGCCTCTTGAAGCAGCGATAAACGCAAGTCCAATACCGGTGTTCCCACTCGTAGGTTCCACAAGAACACTCTTGATAAAAAGTGAAAATAAGAATATGATAAGTCTAGAGAACTGTCAAAAACTTCTTATGCCTAAAATAATCTGATACCTTTCCAGGTGTTATGAATCCTTTTTGCTCAGCATCAGTAACCATACTGTACCCAATCCTGAAACATAAAAAAGTTTAGATGTCTAACTGAAAAAACATATGAACAAGCTATAAAAAGACTAATGATATACAGTACACACCTATCCTTGACACTGCAACAAGGTTCCATGATCTCGAGCTTAGCAGCAATTTTAGATAAACAACCCTTTGCCATACTATTCAAATACACCATAGGAGTTTTCCCAATGAGCTGTGATCAAGTCAAGCACAGATGATACAAATGTAAGTAAAGTATGAACCTTTTGAGCTTCCAAGAGTAAAATCTTACAATAGTAATGCAGTAAACTCAAGGAACGTACAAGCAAACAAAGTCAGGGTTTCTATAAGTAAAGTCTGAACCTTTTGAGCTTCCAACAGAAAAAAATCTAACAAAACTCAATTCCAAAAGCTAACTTGATCATCAATTTATAAACTTTAGATCTAAAAAGAGAAACCCATCTAACCTGAGACACATTCTCAGCTATGTTGAGCCCATCAGCTCCAGTCTCACGCTTAACGGCCTCACACACAGCAGACGGATCTCGCTTCGAGGCATCTCCATAGCTTCGACTCTGCTGGCTGTTCGTCGCTAGAGGGAAGTCGGAAGTAGGGAAGGAGAGAGAAGATATTTGCGGCGAGGATCTGAAGTGACGGAGAGTAGAGGAAGTCAACGGGTTAAGGAAGAGAGCAGAGGAAGATGTTGATGCCATGGATGATGAGGCTATCACTCTTTGGTTTACCAAGAGTGTTGAGAGGAATCGAGACGCGATCTTAGCTTCACTGTTGAACCTTGAAGCTATGAGCATCGCCATGATCGTGTCTGTGTTTTTTTTTTGTCTGAATACGACGTCGATTAGATTTTTCAGATACGGTCCATTTTAAGACCAAGCTTCTTCGACTTGTATATGTTTCATTTGATCACGATAGTAAGGAATTATTTTTTTATAAATTTATAGTTAATTTATATTTTTTTGTTTTTAAACATATATGATACGATACATAAATTAAAATTTATTCGAACGTACCAACCAAAGTAACCATAAGTGAACGTGGGAGAATGTGTTCATGTTCATCAGACCCTACCTTACCTATCTACTAATAGCCGCAACAATCTTTTTCCACAATCTATTTTACTATTTTTGCAGATCTCTTTTGTGAAATAAGAAAATGATTAATCCTGAAAATGCAGAAAGATTCTACAGAACACATTCAAGATAATAGATTCTCTGTTACCCTTACATAACAAAAAAGTAAATAGAATAAAAATGAAAAAGCAAAAGAACGTAGATAACATAGCAAAGTTGGAATAAGCTACTGTCCTCCCAGCTTGCAAAATCGCCACAGATCAATGAGTTTGTTGTCTAAATATAAAGGAGAGGGAGAATAAGAAATTTCACTGAAGTAAAAGTTGGAGCTTGAGATTGTGGGAAAGCTATGACCTTGGGTGGTGAGATTCAGCCCAATGTTTCTGAGTTTGACAATCATCCAAGCTGACGGTCGATGTACCATTGTGTGAGTATGAAATAATCTTCCTAGGTTCGCCACTCGCAAGACTCCAGATGAAAGACTTTCTTACATTGAAAGCTCCATCTGAGAATTTTGGTTCAGAATCACCACCACCAAGAATAACTTCTTTCTTCAAAACCTCAAAGCTGTCATCAATGTACACACCAGGTATACGGATACTGGTCTGGTCATTTACACCTCGCTTGAGACTTCTGATAATACCATCTTTCAATACCTTAACCGGGTCTGACTTAACCAGCCAAAACCCTTCAAAAACAGAATACTTTCTCAGTCTTTCCATAGACTCGTCGTCAATATACTTCAACCAAACCATACCGTTTGACATTTGCAATATCCCACTACTCATTTGCTCCTCCATGTACGAAATGAGTCTGAGACCATCCGTACCCAACAGCGACCTCATGCTATTATTACGATCTGCATCCTTCCGAAAACTAGTGTCGATATCCTTGAATAGCAATAAACATGCCATCTGATGAAACCTACCCAACATAACTGCTGTTTCCTTAGACAATAGAGTCTTTTCTCTTACACCACCTTTAGCTACATTCCCACTCAAAGCAGGGTATATCAAATCACATTCACTGACAACAGCCGGTAAACCAACCACATCCAGGTACCTGTTCTGTCTCAGTGAACAAGCTATTATCATAGCTGACTCCAACTCTTCCCCTAGACCAAACTGATCTGAGTACTCAATCAATGTACCCATTATATGCTCAGCCGACACAACAACATTATGATAATGCTTCATTGGCGAGTAGCCAACCAAGTAGATATCATCACCATCAGCTGGTATTTTAACATGATCCACACCTCCAAAAAGCGGGCTCAGATACTGCTGACACATTGCATACAATATAAGGTTGCGTGCTGGATCATCATCATGTTTGGTGAATACATAAGCGGTGTTTCTAAAACTCATTGCAGTCAGAAGCTCCTCGACTTTATAATCTATAGTCTGGAGATCAGCTCTCATATATGTCTTGGTTCCACTCTCAAGATGGTCCAAGTAGATCAAACATCCTTTAACCATCCTAGTTAGCTTACATTGCGCAGATGCACCGGAGAGAAACAATGGAACCAACCTCTGAGCCTCAGATCTTGTGCATATACCTTGTGCATATTCCACTACCCTCCCCAATTCATTTGGTGTGTTCACCTTTCCTGGCTTGCCAGTGTATAATCTGGCCACTACCTCACCCAAAACCCAGTCAACTCTGAAAGATAGATCCATACCGTGTATTTCGTCAAGAACTGCTTTACCTAACAAGTTAGTCTGGAGATTGTAATCAAGAAAGAAAGTATCTTGTGCTAAACAATGGCTCCCTTCTTTAGCAATACTATCTATATAACGGCGGGTCTTTGCTAGAACATAGCTCAGTTCAGCGTTATCTATCATCTTGGGTTTCAAGTCGGTGTACCTTACTTCACGCATACCTTCATGCTCAGCCTTTGCTTGTTTATATCCTAACGCACCGTCCCTGAGAAAGTTTGCAAGTACATCAAAATCGACGCTAATATGGGGATCCATACTTGCGATTCTTAAGCAAGACAAAAAGCTTTAGCGAGTGAAACTTGTGATAGCAGCAGAAAATGAAAATTAAGTAAGAAGAGAGGAATACAAGAGAATGTTGAAGAAGCGACGGTTGGTATCTCTCTGTTTAAATGATTTGGGGAAACGAATCTCAACAGTTACCCATGAACTCTTTTAATGAAAGAGATGGACGGTTATAGTCAAAATTAATTAAGAACTAGATTTTGACCCGCCCTTAAAAGGGCGGGTATATTTTTTGTTTTAAATTTTTTTAGAAATTTAATTTGTCATATTTGTATTTTTAATTGTAAAGATATGTGTGTTTGTTTTTGTTGCTACATTTCTGTGTATTTTTGTTTGGGAAAATATGTGTTTGTTTTTGTAATTATATTTGTGTTAAATTTTTTCAAACATTTTTAGTAGGAGGTTTTGATAATTTGATTGAATTTATGATGTTCGATAACTATACATGTGCTATAGTAATTTCATCCATTGATTTTGTAATTTATTCCTAAAGAATTAATGAATTTTTTTAAAGTAACAAAGTATAGCTACAATTTTTAATTTTCTCATAGTAAATAAATAAATAAAATCATATATTTTTCATTAATTTTTTATTATTTGATTTCATATATAATTATAATCATGATATAAACACACATAATAATTTCTAATGAAATTAAAAATGGATTTTACAAAATATGATCTAATATAAACGAATGGGCCATATAGTTGTTAAAAACCAAAATTACCTTATGCATGTATAAACAATATCAAGGCCTAAGGCCCATATTTTTAGCATCTCCCGACAAAAACTTATGTTGTCTTAACCTACTCTCCTTTTGTCGGTGGGAGATAAGGACCAAAGTGAAAAGATTCCAATCTGAACCAAAGTGAAAAACTTATTTTCTTGATGACTCCGTAGAAGACGATGGGAGCTGAACGGAGTGATTGTAACCGGTTAAAACCACAGAAGTTTAACTCGACTTTGGTCTTGTAAAGATCTCAGATATTCTATTAGCCAGATGATATGTGATTCGGTAAGTTCTTTCCTTCGAAATCCAATTTATAGTGATTTTTATCATAAATATATTCTGACAATATATCCTTTACATGTTTGGTAGAAAAAGACAGAGGTCGTGTCTGTCTCACTTGTTTGTTGAAGAAAAACTTCAAATCTTCAGCTGGAAAAGTGATATTAACAGATCGCAAGCATCTATGGAGACCTGGATAATCTCTCTTCGTTGCTAGATCTATATATTGGTAAGAACCCTAAAAAAATTTTATTTATTGAAATTTTTTTTTAAGAACCTTAACATTGGTTTTGTCTTAAATGTGAACCACTCCTTTGATGTCTCATGTTGTGCAGTTTAAGATTACATTTATTATTAGTTGTAGAATTTTATTATAAGTAAGATCATGCTAGAGTATCCAACGTCTTTCAGAATTAGGAATTATAATATATCTAAATACTCACTGTTGTAATGTTGTGATCTAATTGAACTCTTTTATTTTTATGCAGGACTTAATAAAAAAAAGGAGCACCTGGAAGGAAGGAGAGAAATCAGAGAGTTCTGAAAAACAACCTTAACTTGTACCATTTCATGTGAGTCTGTTTTAATTATGCATTAGAAAGATGCATGATATAAATGATGGTACTGAATATCAAAAAGTGGGTGAATGAATCTACATGTCTTATTGTTTGCTCTACTGCTTTAGACAAACATTAGTAAGTGTTAAAATACACTGATGTGTGAGTATATTACAATTGTTTTACTATTGAACTCTGTATTATTCTTCAGGAGCTACTGGAAAAATTATAAGTTCAGAATCGGCATTGAGGAACTCCAAAGAAATCTCGACGATGAGAAAGAACTTCCAGGAAAAGAAAGTAAGGTTGTTAAGAAATATAGGTCAGAAACGACTTGGTCTAATTCTTATGGAATAATTGTTTTGTTCTGTAGGCACTCATTACTATATAAGAAGTAAGATGATCAACAGAAACCCAAAGAGCGAGTAGTATTACGCGAGACCAACAGGTTATCTGCTAAATTTAAGAAGAGTTGTTTAGGAATTTTAATAATAAGAAGATCAGTATATATAAAAATACTCTGCTGCGTGTGTATATTACAACTGTTTTACTATTGAACTCTGTATTATTCTTCAGGGGCTACTGGGAAAAATTATAAGTTCAGAATCGGCATTGAGGAAAGGAACACACAGTATATTAAGAAACAACCTCTAGTATCGGAATAACATGTAAGTCACTAAACCAAATTTAGATAGCGAACATTAGTTAGGAACAGAACTCAAATGTTGCTTGCTGGTATAGCTAGGAATGGAACTCAAATGTTGCTTGCTGGTATGTCTGGAATGATTTTTGAATGTTGCTTGCTAGAGAATGAAACCACATGTCAATACACTTGAGTGTCTGTTGTATGCTTTTGCGTATGTAGGTTCAGTTTGACAATTTAGTTTGCTTGTACATCTGTTGTGTTTTTGCTTGTATGAATAAATTAGAAAGACAAAAGTAGAACGTTTGCAAATTAAGTAAACATTGTTAGAAAATAACTGAAATAAGTTTAAATATGAAAAACACAGAAAACCTAAACAATAAAATTAGAGATTCTCGAAAATCTCTTTGAAAACAACATTCTTTGTCTCACGTTTAGGCTTTCCTTGATCATCAACAACCAGAATCTTCAATCCTTTTTTTGATGTGACTCTAGAAACAGCCACATATAGTTGTCCATGAGAGAAGACATCTCTTGGTAGATACAAACCAACATGAGATAGAGATTGACCTTGACT